CGGCACGTAGAATTAGAACAATCCCCCCACACTCGTGGACTAAATAAAAGGCTCGGTTTGAAATTCCAACGTATATCACCTGAAGAAGGACGGAGCGTACGACGGCCGAAATTTGAATATGGCAATAAAGATGAGGACAAGAGTCCGAACGATGTAAATAGTGTAAATGTTTTAATTTAACTAAAAAAAAAAGAACTCCTTTCACGAGGGTGGACTGAAAACTTCATCGGCTGACTATTAAGGAGGGATGCTTTGAAATTTTTCATGCCTTAATTTCAATTCTCATTAGTAAACTGACATCTGATTGTTTTGAACAATTTAAAAGAAACTGGTATCGACTTCTCTTGAAAATGGAATAAAATTGGCGTTATCAAGTACCTGCAGAAAAAGAGTTTTTACTTAATATCATTTCTACATTAGCGGATGACGCGCCAGCTTTATCAACAGTGTAACAGTGGACAGATGAATTTAGGAGAGGGAAGGGGAAGTCTTAAAAATGATATAATGGTCTGGACATCCTGCAACTGTCACCACTGAGGTAAACATTGATCATGTTCATCATATGTTGATGAATGACAGGCGATTGACTATAAATCAAATAGCCAATGCTATTAGCATATCCCGTGAAAATATTCTACACAATGAACTTGGCATTACAATGGTTTCTGCTCGGTGGGAGCCAAGTCTTCTGACACCTGATCAAAAACGCACCAGACTTAGCACATCACAAGAAAGAGACAGATCCATCTGGTTTCCTTGAACGATTCCTAACCCAGAATGAGCGTTGGGTTCATCACTTTCAGTCAGAGATAAACAATCCAGTGAAAACACTCCTACTCATCTGCCACAAATAAGGCTAAGGTCGTTTCATTTGAAGGGAAAGTCAAGACCTCAGATTTTGGGGATGTAAAAGGCACTTTTTTGGCTATCTTCAAAAGGGCCACACCATCAATAAAGAATATTATGACAATTTGCTGAGGCAGTTAAGAAAGGCTATCAAGACTAAACACCCAGGAAAACTAACGAAGAATCTTGTTTCATGAGGACAACGTTCCAGCATGCTATAAACTTTTCGGCCCACCCTCGTCCAAAGAGAAATGGGATTAATTTCAAAATCGCATTGAAAATTACAAGTAATTAAAAAAGAAAATGTGTTTTAATAAATTATGCAAGCAACCACTGTCAGATTTTTTTTTAGTTTTATTTTTGGTAAGACTCGGGACTAATTTTCCATATATTCACACTTGATATTGCATATTGTTTTTTTTTTTTAATGAAATAACATCTTCAGGGATTTTTCTTTATATAACTGTAAAAAGATTTCAGGAACAAAGCGAAAGTGAAAAAGTACACACCAGATATCGAAAGTGGGTGTTGGGGTTGTGAAACAGAAACCCTCGAAAAATATTTCCACAAAGTTTTCTATTAAAATAACCTATTCAGTATTATGATACACATTCATTCATGAATAAGTACCGAACATTTAGTTTGAATCACTGATTTTTTGGCAAATATTTTAAAACAAGTGATAGCGATTTTTTACTTTCATTTCGAAAAACTGCATCCATTTTGATGTCTTACAGTTTATCTTAGCATACGATTTATTCTATATTTATTAAGTCAAATAACTGACATTTTTGCATTTTATTGTTTCTTTTTGGCAAAGCTGAATTGTTAACATCATTATTCTTGTGCTTTATGTTGTGGTGTTCTCCCTCTAAAGAGTTTATGTTGGACTCTTCCGCTTATTATAATATTAGTAGGAGAGAAGGCCTTTAGGGAACAGTTGAATAGATTTAACGCTGGCTCATCCGACACGCACTCACTAGTTGTCTAATATACTTCTGTTGTACTTACTGTTTAATAAATGATATATCTGTAACACTTGTTATTTCTTGAACCATTTACTTGGTCACAACGCTTTAGGAGCTTTAGCGAGTAAAAATGATGCTTTGTTTATTTTGGTGGGGGTTAACTTAAAACGCAGTAAACGAAACCACTGATAAGTTGAACCGCTGTGATTTTGAGAGGAATCTCTTTTAGAATTTCTTCTGTTTTTTTCTTAACATAATTTCTTTCTTTATTAATAACAATGATCAAACATTGTACTGTGATCTTTTCTGGTCAGAATCAATCTAATAACAGCATTTTGGCTACTGATTTATTGATTATTTGACATCTATAATAAAAGGATTGCTATTGATTATCCTGGAGAAAAGTGATATAATTTGTTTGCAAATTGGTGACTTTTACGCATTGATTCCTAAGCTCTATTTAGCTTGATTTTTTTTTCTTCTTGATTAGAATTACATTTACATGGCAATTCTAACGCCAGCTCCAACCAGCCTCAATCATAGAACATTCTTGTTGTTTTTTTATTTATTTAGCTGGCATTTTTATTGTTCAACTAATATGATTTCTCAATTGGTCTCCAATCAATTCTCCTTCACCAATGGTTTTTCTATGAAATGTCTCATCTATTCCAGAATATTGATATCGACTACTTCGTGGGAATCTGCGATCGAAATAGCATGATCGGTTTCGCTGTTGTAGCAACTGAATCGGCAATGGTTGATTATGGTTTCTGAGGGGCGAAATTTTGATGTCATTTCGGTGAACTATGTGTGGGGTGAGGTATTTTGTTTGACAGCAGAAAAATACACAATCCTGAAAATTTTGTTACATTAATCAATACAATATATATATATATATATATATATATATATATATATATATATATATATATATATATTATATAAAGATTATTGATTACGCACAATTATTGTGTGAATAACAGTAAGTCACTGGAAACAGAGAAACCACTTACACGAAGCATCATTTAACAACAAAAATGAAATATCCAAGTAGCACAATACTTTTAAAGAACGTAGGAAACCTAAAAACACTAAGCAAAACGCACCAAAAGTGACGTGGAAAATAAGAAAGAAAAACAAAAAAAAAAAAAAAAAAAGCAAAAAAAATATAGCTACAAAATCAAATGTGTGTGACGCTATATACTATCACTTTAAATATTTGTATTTGTTTTGGGCGATGGAGTTAGGGCTGAGGCTAAATTATTAACATTCCTGACCTTGAGTTAGTTTATTTTATTTTATTATATTTTGTTATGGTTTTTATTTATTTATTTCATTGTTTTTATTTGTTTATTATTTTTATTCATTACGACTCCAAAAACCAAACATCTAGAATCCGTAGCCTAAAACTAATAGATTTTATTTCAAAGCGAATACCAAAATTTAGAATCAAAGAAAATATACAAATTAATTTTAAAAAAATGAATAAAATAGAAATAAGAAACGAAAAAAATAACAAAATATTATAAAATATAATAAATAAATAAAATAAACAATTTCAAGATCAAGGCTACCAATAATTTAATAACCTTAGCACGACCCCCCCCACCAACCAAAAAAAAAAAAAAGGTAAAAAAAATTCCAAAGTGTTAGTCTGAACAACAGACGCCCTGCCAGGTGACCAAAAGAAAACTTAAAAAGAAAAAATAGCAATGAATAATAAAAAAAAAAAAAAACGATATAAGAAAACGGGAAAAAAGAAACATAAACTAAGAAAGAAAAAAAAAAGAAAAGAGAGGCACTTAAAGAATAACAACGATGGCGAGATTACCAAGACAGAGCAATTATGCTTGCCAGTATCCCACCTCAGAAAGAGACAAAGTTCGGACGGCTACTTAAGTGTCACGCTACTGAGATCTTCATGCAATCAGAACACGTTCTATTCTAATACTTTATTCCTTCACGCGTCTCTTCCGGCTTCTTACCTTCCTGTCAACGTTGATCTTGAAAACTTTAAATGCAACGTTAATCATCAGTTGTTTTTTTTTAATTCGGCTCTTTTATCGTCCTTTCTCTCCAATAGCATTTTCTCAGGTTCTTTCACACTCAGTAACCATTTGCTTCCCAGCGGGGTTTCATCGCCTTACTTGTGGTGAAATGATTAAATACACATACATTCATATATATATATATATATATATATATATATTGCTTGACAACCTGACTGTCAGGGTTTCAATTCTCGGTAGTGGATGCGCACTGCTGATGAGTCCCAAATATAGGATGAAACGGCTGTCCAGTGCTTTCTGCATTCTGTTGAGGTTTCTATCAGACTCGATGAATTAATTAAATATATATATATATGATGTTCGGGCTAAATCTGACAGTTTTTCTAAGGGAAAACACAGTAGAATATCTAAGCTAAAAATCAATTTATTGGAAGAATAGAAAAGTGGCATAGAAATTATAATAGTCAAAGACAATTCACTCAAAGAAGCGACCTCCAGCATCTACCGATCCAACTTACGGAAGCTGACACATGCAGCCTTCACATTGAGAGCCTAAAACGTTTCCTCAATCCTGTCAATCAGCTGGAACTTGATTTTACAGACATTGCAGTTGATCTCTTTCTCAACTGCGCCATACACATAATAAACTATGAGATTGCAATCAGGGGAGTTACGGAGCCAGATGTTAGGGCTGGAGAAGTCGAAAGTATCTGACAATCACATCTGACTCTTCCTCAAAATGTGGCACGGAGCTGAATGTTGCTGCCACATATATGGTGTTCCAGTAGCCACCCTCACCAACCTATTCTTGTCTACGGTGTTCAGCAACTCCACATAGCCACCCGAATTGAGCCTGAGTTCCTGATCAATGATGTGAGGTGGCATAACATCTCTCTCACTGGAGACACACACCTAAAAACCATTACAGTTTGGGGAAACTTGGTCTTCATGACACGAGGAACGTCAAATGGATTGTAGGCAAGCGACCTTTTGTTCTGAGTGTTGTGCAGCTGGTCCAGACAAAATTATTTTCATTAGAGAAGAAACAGATTGTCCCTGGCTAAACAGGAGTTTCTTTGCTTTTGCCAGACTGTTTTCTCGAACCTTTTCTCGAATAAGTTGACCTTTATACTTCTTGTATGACTGATAGCGGAGGTCCTCATTCAAGGCCACTTTCATGGTAGAAATTGCAACGCCCATTTCCCACGCATTCCTTTGCCCCAGTTTTCCATCACTTTCTCCTGCAGTTGTTGGACGAATTCTGCTGTACGAAGGCAATCAGAATGTCTGCTGTGTTCTTTCCTACAAGCCACGACCACGTAGTCTCCGTTTCAGCTCTCCATTTTACGTCTTATTGTTTTGCCAGTGATCAAAGAGCATTGAGGAGATGTGATGATTGCGGCATTTTGATGACTGGCACGAATCATCCTGATGCAGGTTACCCTTTTCCAATATTCAGGCGGCTTCCAATCGTAAATATCAGTTAACTTCGACGCCTCTAAAATTGTAGTGATAAGTTTTCATAATGCCGTTCACTGTTTACAGATATTACAAACCAATTTGAAAAATAAAAAATAAAATATTCGACTTAGTCAAATTTAGCCCCAACACTTTTATATATATATATATATATATATATATATATATATATATATATATATATATATATATATATATATATTCACAATATAGGAAAATTCTTGTTGACAACACCAATATACTACACCACGAAAGTAATAAACAAATTCTCGAGGCCCTCTGTATCAAAATCAATCCACCAGCACTCAACAAAATTTATTACAAATATAGCAACGATATATCAAATTGCATATAATATTTATATGCTAATGCCATTTTAAATTTCTAACAATTCCCAGTCATCTCCCTTATATTTAAACGCTTGTTTTGTAAACAATTCCATATTTACAACGGGAATTTTAAAATTCTAAAATAACTATAACAAAGCGCATTCGCGCGTGTTTTTTAAAATCATTATCACAAAGGAATGCGGATTTTATTTCAGTTATATTATCATGCCTTTCGGTTTCGGTCTAATAAACCATCTTCAGGACATACTCATAAATTATAACATTATCAATGATAAAAATGATTTGATAATGTTATAATTTATGAATATGTCCTGAAGATGGTTTATTAAACCGAAACGTCCGACGTTGACATATTAACATTAAAACAGCATAATTGTATATAAGGATTTTTGTTTGTTTTTTCCGTATATATTTTTCTTCATATATATATATATATATATATATATATATAGTCTTCCACGGATAGACTGTTTCGTTGTATCACAGCTAATCAGTGTGGCTAGACGGGATCGAAACCTGATTGAGTTGACATCAGTCAGATATCTTAGGCCATCGTCGCACGGCAGAAAGAAAGGAAATTTTAACATTTTTCTCTATACGAAATAAAATAAATATATATATAAATAATATATATATATATATATATATATATATATATATATATATATATATATATATATATATATATAGTGATTTTTCAGACTTAGGTTAGATGTGGCACAAGGCCTAAAGTAGGAGGCAACCAGTGAGTATCGAACTCACTATTCAATCGTATGTATGTATATGTATGTGTGTGTGTGTGTGTGTGTGTACAAGGGACGCTGAAATGTTCTCGGTCGAACCAATTCTGACGTTTGCTATTTGGTCAAATTTTCGCAAGTAGTTAAATACCAAGAACTTTTTTCTGCATTCACTCATATATAGTGAGTAAAAACAAGACAGAAAATTGCATTGTAATGCGTTTTCAACAAAAGTAATGTGTTAATTGAGGAAATCAATAAAAATACAATGATATTCGGCTACAGTTTTGCATCAAAACATTAAAGATCATCATCATCATCATCATCATCATTATTAGTCACTATTTCCGTCTGCGACAGATTGCGAATTAACATAACCATTTATTACAATTTTCAGCAAACTTATTTAGTGTCTGTCACTTATTAGTTGGTGAATTATATTATCTATTCACCTGTGTTTTTGTTTCCCTCTAATTATTTATCCAGGAACCAATTCCACAAGAAGCAATTTATTGAGCCCTGTCCAAGATCATTTAATATATCCAAATATTTTCAAGTACTTGATTCCTGATGGTATCACACAGTGAAAGTAAATTAGTTCGATTTCAAACAAAAAAAAGAAGATGATATTTTGTATCATGAAGTTATTAGTTCCCTCACCCCTCAGTCATTGCTGTTCCTGCCTGTGGCAGATTGCAAATTAACATGTCTTCTTTTCTGATCTCAAACAAGGCTTATTTAGTGTCTGATGACCACGTTTTATCCCTACATTTCTGTTTTGGTCTTTTACGTTTTCCAGGATTCCTCAAATCCTGATTTAGAAAGCCCTGCATTATATCCTTTACTATGTCCAAATAGCTTAAGGGATTTACTACAGTTTGTATCAAAGAGTAAAAGTAAATTGGTTACATTTCTAACTGATTATTTTCACTTTGTTAGCTTCTGATCTGCGATGATATGAATCTTATGGCTTTGGAATTTTGAAAGTTTTTGAGTCCGTGTCACACAATCTAAGCCATAGAAAACAACTGGAAGAAATTTTTATAAGGTATCTTTGTTTTTAGCGTGAATTGGTATTGTTGATTTCGGTATAGCCTTATGTTTTTCAAAAGCACCCCACCATAAGACGTTGTGTTTTACTACAACTTCTTGTTCATTCTTTTGTAACTAAAATCAGTCGCATGATCAATTTTTTTTAGGATTATTTGGGTGTTTGTGCTCAGTTTTATTTTATTGAAATAATTTTCTTGAAAATTTAAATTCAATATGTAAAGTTTTGAATTAGCATTACATATTGAATTTAAATTTTGACATTTGATATATCTAAAGTTTTAATCTTATTCATCTTTTTATTTTATTTTTGTTATTGTTTCTAGTTATCCTAAATTGTAGTAATAGTAGTACTTTTGTGGGTATAAGAAAACTGACTTTAAGAATGCCATAAAAGCTTTGAGAAAAAATTTTAAAAATTAAGGAAAAAAAGTGGCATGATTAGCAAGAAAGTATTTAAAGCTGATGTTCCAAATGTAAAAAAATAGAAAAAATACAGAATATTAAAACCATTGGTTACTTTCATGTCTTTACCCAAACAACCACCTTTAAGTAAATACATTATGTAAAATATGTAAGTTGGATGGGAAAACTAATTTATCAAAATTAATTTTTAGTGATTAATGTAGATCTACATTGGATGGACATAATGGCAAGGAGCGGAGGAGTAATTTTAGGAATACTTTTGCAGGCAGTAAAATTCTAGATACATTCCAATTTAATATTGTTAAAATAAAAGCAGAAAGTAAATTCTTGGAAAAATATATTTTTTCAGCGGTACAGGTCGGAAACAAGAAGCATTTAGCTGATGCAAGACAATACTCTTTCATATTCTTCAATGCCACCTTACCAAAATTGATTCATTTTCAAAATTGAACCATCATTAAAGAGATATATACGATAATGGAAAACAATATTCAGAAAAAAAGATTTTTGGAAGACATCAAAAACTGCTGCACATAATGTAAATTTCGAAAGAAAGGAAAAGTTAACGAAATCAATGAATAGAAAACTGATGACATTTATAGAATGTCAAGAACTCCATATTGATATGCAAAATAATCAAAATAATAATTTATTCGGATAAGTGGGATACTGTGTTAACCAAATATGTATTTATGTGGCCTTTTGGATTTATATATAAATAAAACTTCATGGTGCACTTAGTTTGCATAATAGAACATGACACCTACCCCAAAACACGTCCTTAGAAATGGTTTTAAGAAGGATCGTATTTAACACTGATACTCACGTGATATATTGTTCATATATGTAAGTATATCCTAGAAATTTTATCAACATTTGTTGGTTAATAATTTTATCGTGAAAATATTGACTTGCGTAATAAAATTTGAAATAGTGTACAGGCACACCCAATCTTTGGCATAAATGTCATAGTTACCCCTATTGACAGCTAAGTATATTTACTAATACCTACATTCAAATATATCAGGCACAGTAATGCTTGTAAACGCATAGGCACATTTGCGCATGCGCGTAGAAACATGCCGCCGCTGCATGAACATCAAAGGGTTTCCAGTTTAGGCGAGCATACTAATTACAGAGAAGGCGGTGAGAGAGAAGGAACTTTTAAAATCAAATACAAGAAATTTCGTGAGCTCTGCTGGGAAAATGTAGTTTCCTAAAATGGTCTTTGATCTTCGACTGGAATGAAAGTCGAACGGCGAAGGAGAAGAAGAAAAGCAAAGTGAAGAACGTGAAAGCGGGAAGCAGTTGACGCAAATATGGCGTCGCTGTTTGCTTGGATCCGGCCGACAGCAGAAGCGAAAGGAAGAAATAGTTCGTGTAATAAGGAAGTTAGGGATGGGAAGGAAGGGAGGAAGAAAGAAAGAAAGAAAGAGGCGGGAAATATGCCCACAAGATGGCGGTGCGGGTATTGAATGCCTTGCTATCCTTATTAAATTATCTTCCTTTTTGTCATCCACAATAATTTCATCTGGTCTTCACTTTCATTATTTGCTTTGTTTATTTCGGTCTGCTTGGCAGAAATGGCTTTTCTTCGCTCCTTTCAGCCATTTTTGTTTTACTTTTTTCGTTTCTTCTTTCTTTTCTTTTTTCTTTCCACTTTCTTTCTTCTTTCTTTTCTTTTTTCTTTCCACTTTCTTTCTTTTCTCGCGTAAAGTTTTTTACCCCCACCACCTTCTCCCCCCTTTTTTCCATATTTCATATTTTCTTCTAAACTAGTTATATATTTTTTGGTTATAATTTCTCTAGGAATTTATTTTTTATCTTTTATTCTGTTTAAATTTCTTCTGTTTTTCTTTCACTAGAGCATCAAATCATTTCTTTTGCGACTCAGCATTTTTGTATTACTCATTTATTTTTTTATTTTCTTCATGCATTTTGTTCTGATGAAATTTTTCCTTTTTTCTTTTTTCTCGTTTGTCATTTTAAAAATTATAATTTTTTGTTTCTTAGTTTATTTATTGTTTTCTTTTAATTTCATTCACTACTAATTATTTAGCTTATTTTTCTTTCGCTTTATCCACACTTTCTTTTTTAACTGTATCCACTCTTTCTTTCTTTCTTTCTTTCTTTCTTTCTTTCTTTCACTCTTTCTGTTCCACTCTTTCTTTCCTTCACCGCGTCAACGCTTTCTTTTCTTTCTTTCTTTCTTTCTTTCTTTCTTTCTTTCTTTCTTTCTTTCTTTCTTTCTTTCTTTGCCTAAAACCAGACAGCGCCTCTGATGTATCTTTTCTTTCTTTCTTTCTTTCTTTCTTTCTTTCTTTCTTTCTTTCTTTCTTTCACTGTTTCCACGCTTTCCTTCTTTCAATGTATCTTTTCTTTCAATGTATACCTTCTTTCTTTCTTTCTTTCTTTCTTTTTTTCTTTCTTTCACTGTATCCACTCTTTCTTTCTTTCTTTCTTTCTTTCTTTCTTTCTCCCTTCTTTCTTTCAATGTATCCACTTTTTCTTTCTTTCTTTCTTTCTTTCTTTCTTTCTTTCTTTCTTTCTTTCTTTCTCCCTTCTTTCTTTCAATGTATCCACTTTTTCTTTCTTTCTTTCTTTCTTTCTTTCTTTCTTTCTTTCTTTCTTTCTTTCTTTCTCCCTTCTTTCTTTCAATGTATCCACTTTTTCTTTCTTTCTTTCTTTCTTTCTTTCTTTCTTTTACTGTATTTACTCTTTCTTTGTTTCTTTTTAAATAAGACTTCTCTTCAATGTCAATTTTTTCTATTTCAAATATTTTCTCTGCCTTTACGTTTTAATAAACGATTGCGCTTTTCTCTTCATTCACTTTATTTCATTTCATTCCACTTCGTCGTTATTCATTCATTTATTCTGATATACGGAATCATTGTTTCCTTTTTAAAATTCTATCTTTCCAACACACTAAACAGACAACGAAATGGCGCCATTATTTACTTGAAGCCGGAAAGTATTTTTTGAGACCATTACTAAAACCCTTAGCGCAACACGCGGGTGACAGGTAGCTGATTACATCTATCTATCTATCTATCTATCTATCTATCTATCTATCTATCTATCTATGTGTGCGCGTATGTGTGTGCACGTCTGTGTGATGCTACGAAAAAGTTCTGGAAACTTAAAGCATCAAATTGCTTCCTGACGAAAAGAAAAAAATAGAGAAAATGATGCATTCCTGGTGAAAGGATTTCAAAATAGTGAAATACAGGAAATTATGGAAACTTAAGAGATGAACAGATTGATCGATCTATTCAAATTTCCTAAACCTTAGGGAAGCACACCGCATATATATATATATATATATATATATATATATATATATATATATATTAATTATAATTTTTCAAATAGACAAAAACAATTTATTCACGACAAAGATGCAACTTTGTTTCGGTGCATTTAGTTACACCTCGACTGGTGAGAAGCAAAATGGTAGCTGATTACATCTATCTATCTATCTATCTATCTATCTATCTATCTATCTATCTATCTATCTGTGTGTGTGTGTGTGCCGAGGTGCAGCTAAATGCACCGAAACGAGGTTGCATCTTTGTCGTGAGTAAATTGTTTCTGCTTATATGAAAAAATTATAATAAATAAGTATTGCTCTACTATCGGTATTGAGCCATCTTTTGCATTAAAGCTGTGAACGTTAGAATTTACATATTATTTTCGTTCTCATTACATTCGGATATATATATATATATATATATATATATATATATATATATGGGATAACGATATATATTTTTAAATATCAAGAACAGTATTGGGTAAATTTTATGACAAAGTGGAATAATTTTTTTCCCTCTTTGTTATCTATCTATCTATCTATCTATCTATCTATCTATCTATCTAAAGTTGTAGCCGCTGTCTTTTTGTTATCGAACTCCTCTTAGGATTTTTGGAGACCCCCCCATAACCATATATATTCTGAAACTCCATTACCTAGGGTACTTGGATAAATATATTTCATTTTGATAAAAGTGGTTACCCGAGACGCGAATTTTTTTTTCATTTGATTTAAATTAAATTAAATTTGAACACTTCTATCCAAAATATAGCAGGAGAAAGCCAGAAGATGGATGTCACATTGGCAAGATCCTTTTTCATCAAAGAGGGTCCCAGGAGTGACGTCCCCCAATGAAAATTTTCCCTTTGATCTAAATTAAATTTAAATTTGAACTAGAGAATCACTCCTAGGGTACTTGGATAAGTATATTTCATTTTGATCAAAGGCGATTCCACGGGGGAACACCTCCATACACTGAAAATTTTTCTCTTTGATTCAAATTTAAATTTGACCAAAGGAATGACTCCTGTCCAAAATATAGAAGGAGATACCCAGAAGATGGAGGTCACATCAGCAAGATCAAAATGAGACAATATGGACGTCAAGATGAGTAAGAATCAATACTGAAATTTTTTCCTTTTTCATTTAAATTAAATTTAAATTTGAACAAATGAATGTCTCCTATCCAAAATATAGAAGGCGAAAGCCAGAAGATGGAGGTCACATAGGCATGAACATTGAGTAATATTGAAATGCATTTTCTCCACAAATTATATCTGTGTTGATGTATTCAACCATTTTATGAATCTGTTGTGTAT